ACTTCTCTCTCCTATCTCCTCTCTTCTCTCTCCTTTCACCTCTTACCTCTCTCCGACCTCAGATCTCCGACCTCCGATGAACATTATTCCGACCGGTAACAAGTAATCATTGTGATACACAATGTGATACCCACTGTGGTATCACTATGATACCATTATGATACCAACCCAAACCTTAAAAACAAAATCAAATCCATAATCTAAATTTAAGGAATATATACCGATCATCCACGTTGTGATACCCAAAATACATACAAGATGCAATGTGATACCTAATGTAGTACCACTGTGTTACATCTCCGATCGACCACACAAATGACCTCAATGTGATACCCAAGAGCATATATGATACATTGTGATACTATTGTAGTATCACCGGAGGACGGGGGACAGAAAGAAAAAAGAGGAGAGTTTTAAAATACCTAAAATGTCTTTGCATTAAAATTTTAATTCAAAATTACCAAAATAATAAATTTCCTAATTTATCTATTGATTTGTGGTTGAGATTGGACCTCACGGTTACCACAAATTAATTAGTTCTCATTTGATTAGTCCCCTATATATATATATATATATATGTGTGTGTGTGTGTGTGTGTGGAGGTTCAAACAAGAACACCTCCATTTTACGAGAACGTGAGAACACCCTTATCCCATGTGATAAGACGCGTGAGGGGACACTATGATGTGCGGACGACGTGTGCTATGACTTAGCCCGCACTAAAGGTTGTCTGAGTCTATGATTTAGCATAACATATGATGGTCTTGATGGATTATGGTATCATATCAACAACACCATTATCATATGTGATAATACATGCGAGGGGGCTTAGTGGTGTAAGGGCGACTTGGCCCGCAACCAAAAATGCATCGAAAATCGCCTGCGTCTCTAATTTAGTATCACATGTGTATCATATGTGATGGAATAATAGTATCACATATGATTATCTATAGTAAAAAGGTGTTCTCGCGTTCTCGTAAAATGAAGGTGTTTTCGTTTGAGCCCTTCCCTATATATATATATATATGTGTGTGTGTGTGTGTGTGTGTGTGTGTGTGATGGTAATCATTTGAGAACCCGGTTATTTGTGAGAATTGTGAGATCCAACCATATTCTTTATTTTAATGAGTATTAACGGTATGAATTACCATGTCTAGGTCTAATGTTTGAGGCATAAAACAATCATGTCTTGGATCAATGAGTATTAACAGTATGAATCACCATGTCTGGGTTCAATATTTGAAATAGAAAACACGTTCGTTTGGATTAAATAAGTCATAATAGTGTAAATTACCATATATGAGTTCAACATGTGTGACCGTGAATGGATCTCATAGTTCTCACAGAATACATAGTTCTCCAATGAATAACCCATATATATAGGGGGACCTTCTTCTGAAAACCCATGAAATTGTAATAATCGTGAGAACTAGGTGCTATTTCATATGATTTTTTTTCCATCTAAGACTAGGGATTTAGAATACCGGTTAACATATATTTGTTTCATGATCCGTTTGTTTCACATGTACTCGATTAACAATGTGAACCTTTTTAGCATGTTTGTAAAACAAAAAAAATTACGTAAATAAATTTCACATTGTGAACCGAATACATATGAAACAAACACATTATAAAATAAATATATGTTAATCAATACATTAAATATTGTACTGATGAGAAAAAATCATGAGAAGAAATTACAAAGTATAATACCATCTTGACCCCTAACAATCATAAGCATTTATGTCATAATTCTTTTATTACATTTGGTAACATATAAATTGTTGAACACGTCCATGATCCCACTTCTTCACATTCAAATTAAATGGATACTTAAGAGCTGTTTGGCAGTTGCTGAATGATTTGGTGTAGAATGATTAAATGATTAGAATGATTAAGAGGCTCTCATGATATAGTGCAAAATGAAATATAATTGTTTGGTAATTGTTTACAACAAAATTAAGGCACTGATTAAGGGAGGCCCATGATACAAAATCATTCAGAGGGTTTTCGAATCATTAAAAGGCAGACCTTTTTTTTGCCAAACAAGATTCGTCTCTTAACGATTCAGAGACTGCCTCTTAATGAAACTATTAAGAGGTAAACAAACAACCCCTTAATTAGGAAAAACCATTGATTCAATAACAAAAAAACAAATAAGTTGCATGCTTAAACAATTTAATAATCTTTTTCACCACCAACCATTTAAAACCAAACTTTTGAATAAATATGTCAAAATAACCATTTATATATTTGTCAAGTTAAACATTTATGTAAGGGCCCGTTTACCAAACACTTATCCGGGTAAGCGTTTACCAAGTAACATTACCTCACCGGATGAATATAGTAAGGACCAAAAATCTTACCCGGTAAGAGCGAAACAAGGACCAAGAGTCTTACCCGGTAAGTGAGGGTGACGACTCTTACCACAGTAAGCGCTTAACGGGTAAATTGTTGTATACTATATCGTTTTGGTAGACTAAAATCTTACCCGGTAAGTACATAATAGTGTTAAATTTTATCGGTAAGCACTTACCGGGTAAGTGTTTGATTAACGTCCCCTAAGACCTACACTTAAATTTTAGAGTAAACTATAAATTTTCTCCTTACGGTTTGTTGAAAATAACATTTTTCGTCTCTACAGTTTAAAATTTTGAACATGGACATCGCAATTTGTAAAAACGTCTGGATTTGGTTTCTTCTTTTAACGACTGTTAAAAAGTTTCATAAAGTATGAGACATTTTCATTTTTTTATCAATCTTTTTGCCTTTTACTCGGGAAATCGTAATTTCCAAAACTTACGACAATGAGAATAGCAGTTTTAAACAAATCAGAGAGGCGAAACTTAGTTTGCTCTTATTATTACTAGAGTGAATTATATTGTTAGTCCTTGTGGTTTGGTCTTTTTAACCGAATTCGTTCCAACTTTGAAAAATTTATAAGTCGAGTATCTGTGGTTGCGTTTTTTGACGATCCAAGGACGAAAAATGTAATTCATTCTTATTACTACTAGAGTAAATTATATGTTTCATCCCAGTGGTTAGGTGGGTTTAACACTCCTAGTCCCTTTTCTGAAAATTCAACAGGTCATGTCCCTGTGGTTGTTTTTTCATAACGAATAGAGTCCCTAAGGCCAACGTCGTCTGTTTTCTCTCTTTAGAGGCAAGCATGTGCCCTTCATGCGAGGGGCATTTTTGCGCACTCCATTCTTTCCTCTTATTTCTTCATTTTTAAACAAGAAACCCTTGAGCCTCAGGTATCATTAACACACTTTAGTGAGTGACAGCTTCATCTAAAAGCGAATCGATCCAAGATTCAGTGATTCTTCAATCCATCTAATATCTGGAGTTCGCTAGCTTCTATTTCCTCTCAAAATGGTGCGTTTGTGGCAGGTTTAAAAGCATGTTGATCAAGATGAATATTGTGATGTATATGGTATGCATTAACAGGAAGTCCATCTTTATCATTTTTACCTATAATATCAATGTGAGTTTGAATCTCTATTGCAACAAGATCATATCCAAGGTTCATTTGCATCAAGATACATCGTGGAGGAGTTTTCTCTAAGGCTCTTAGAAGGGTTTATGTCAATGGTAAGACTCCTTTTGTTGACATAGTAGATATGGATGAGTTTTCTATACTATAGTTGGACTTGATGCTAGAAGACATTGGGTATGTTAAACCTATACCTAGATTCTAATGACATGACACGTAGGTTAGACTTAGATTATGGGTTGAAACCGTTAGGATATGATGGTGTTGTTTTACAACTTTTCAAACTCGTTCCTGCTTGCAAGTTATTTGATATATACGTTGAACATAGGAAGGGTAATGTGGGCACTTATTTGACTAGTCTAGTGTCTACTAAAGTTTTCATAGAAGAACTATTAGAAGAACCTTTACCTACACCTGAGTATAATAGGTATAAGAAGACAAAAGGTGATGCTAGTCCTTACAAAAAAAGCTTTGTTTCTTTAATGGAGGCATCAAGCACCTACTACCAATGATAATGAGCATGGAGAAGGCATTGACAGGGATTATGAAGCACCTATTTACCAAAGAAAATGACAAGGGAAAGGGCATTGACATGGAGAATGGGGCTAAGGAAAGAAAAAAAGAATTGAGGAAATTGAGAAGGGTCCACTTGGATACTGTTGGAGGTGAAGGGTGTTTTTTTTATTAACCTGGATATCCAACCCGTTCAGCGAGCCGACTAATCCCAGGGCAACCACATGCTTTGCAGATAGTCCGGAGTCGGATTTTTATTTCTTATTGGATTTGAACCTAAAACCTCCTGGTACTTTTGACCTTTGGAGTCAAACTCAAACCAATCAGACACCACCCTTGTGGTTGAGGTGAAGGGTGTTCTGGTGTAAATGGATGGTTTTTTCTTGTAGGATATCTGAAAGCAAAGAAGGGATAAGAAAAAAACATGATTAACATGCTAGCAATTCAGACTAAAAGACAAATTATTGTAATAAAGAATGAATAAAGTAAGGATGAGGGTTGTATGTAGAAGATCCCTTCCTGAGATGATTACAAAAGTAGATGAGCCTGGAAAGAATGGAATGGACGAAAATGTGCTTCATATGAGGGGCACATGTTTTCCTGTAACGAGAGAAAACAGACGGCGTTTATCTCAGGGACACAATCATTAATGAAAAAACAACCATAGGGACATCATCCGTTGAATTTTTATAAAATAGATAAGAAGTGTTAAAACCACCTAACCACAAGGACTAAACATGTAATTTACTCTTACTTATATTTACTTATTTTTGATTTGTTTTGTTGGAGGGAGTATGAGCTAAGTCAAATATGACAATTAGCAATCGGCCTCGAAGAGAATCGGTGTCCATCCGATGAGACAAAACCAGCTGTCTACAGATTAAATACGGTACACCATACACCACACTATAAAACCTCTCCTTTCACTGTAAATTTCGCACCTTTTTCTTTCCGGCATCGAACTTTCTGAGAACGAAAGCTCTAAAACTGGGATTAAAAAGCACAGTTGAGTTGTACCTTGTGCTTTCAGGTTTGTACACACACAGTAACTGCGTGTGTGTCAGCAATTGAAGAGGGAGAGAGAACACGTAGATGAATATGGTCCGTGTATGGATTGCAAGATGCACAGAAGAACACGATACTCTTCTTCGCTAACAGTTTCGTCTCTTCTAATTGACGACCCTGCAGTCCCAATTTTTCTCTTTCGATTCCCTTAATACTGCTTATTTCTTCTCGAATTTGCATTGTTTGTGAATGGCTACTGGAGAAGAATCATCGTCTTCTGGACTGAGCTTGGAAGGGATTGACGATGTTGAGGATTTCGTTTGGGTGAGTTTCAGGTTTTTTTTTTTTTTTTGATTTTCTTATGTTTCATGTTCTGGTAATTATTTAAATTATGAATAAATGTAGGAGAAATGTTGTAAGTATCACTATTTTTAGCATATGATGAGTTATATATATATATTTATCGTCGGAGCCGGCGAGTTGGGAATAGTTTCTGGGATTTTGAAATCTTTTCAACAATTCAATGGATTTGACTTTTGGATGTCAACTTGAAAGTTGATATGGATTTTAAGTTCTTAAAGAACTGCTAATTGAATTAAGATTTAACAAGTAAAGTTTGAAATCGAAATCGATAGTGAATTGGTAACATGGAAGTTTGAGATTTCTGCATATTTCCTTTGCACTTATGGGGGTTGAAAAAAATGGTTGGGATAATTCAGGGGAATCAAGGAGGATCATCATCGATGTCCCTCGGGAGGTTTAGTCATATTTATGATCACATGGATATGGGAAATAAAGCATTCAGAGAGAATCGTTTCGAGGAGGTAAATAATTCGACTCCTTGATTGCTTGCTCAAACTGTTCACTTCTGTTTAATTGATTTTAACACTTGACTGTTAGAGTAAAGATCAAGAGAAGCATTCCATTCGTAGAAGTTAACTTTATGTACAGATATTAATTCTCATAATGATAAGTTTCTGATCATCAATCAGGCCGTCAATTGTTACACGAGAGCTAACGAGCTTAAACCAGCTGATCCTGTTATTCTCAACAACCGTTGTGCTGCTTACCTCAGGTGAATTTCTTAATTATCGACGCTCTTCAGTTCCTTATATTTTTTGTGGGATTCTTAGCTCATGCACATGATGGTGCTCCATTGCCTTAAATTGTTAATGATTTATGATCCATTCTTTGATTTTGTATTCAGGATCAGTCAATTCCTGAGAAACAGGCCGCCATCTGCATCTGAACGTAGACCGTTGAGTGGACTTGATCCTACAATCCATGCTGGCGTATGTGAATCTTTGTTTATTTTGTATGACCAAGCTCATCCTTTTGTTGTTTTGTAAGTTAGCAGATCTTGTGGGATACTTTTTCATGTATAAGCTTCTGTTTTTAGCTTGCATTGAAGGATGCTGAGCAGTTTATGAACTTGCAAACTCAATCAGTAACTCCGTACATATTGAAGGCAAATGCACTCATTTTGGTGAGATCCCGTCATTTGTTATTATTTTATCTTGATTGTTTTCTTGAGTTCTATGATGCCTTATATGTCGCACATTTTGATAATATGCAATTGGCAGTTAGAGAGGTTCGACCTTGCCTATGATGTAATTCTCTCCGGTCTTCAGGTTGATACATCAAGGTAATATATCACGGTATTCTCTGCCACTTGAGTGGTTCACATCCTTTTTTCTACGGTCTTTTTCTTTTGTTACGCTCTGTGAGTTCAATATCATTTGCATTTATTTTCTATATATTTGTTTTTTCACCTTCAATTTTTAATATTGTGAATTCAATTTAATGACTACGTGCATCACATTTTTTCTTGGTATGCAGTCGAATACATAAGGATATGATTTTCTGCCTGTTTCTGGTGTAATACAGCAATGCTCTACGGAATTTAGAAAGGATAACAGCCAATACATTTGGGAGGAGAATCAACGGAAGGCCACCACGTAGCGATGACTTTGATTGCACACTTTGCTTAAAATTGCTATATGAACCCGTTACAACTTCATGTGGACATACCTTTTGCCGCTCTTGCCTCTTCCAGTCGATGGACCGAGGTAGGTCTCCTTTCCGTTCTTTTCCTTAACTATATGAGCCAATTACTTAACTCCATCTTGATTCACTAATTTTGTGTTCTTTCCCTTAATGCTAGGGAACAGATGCCCTTTGTGCCGAACAGTTCTGTTTGTTAGTCCTAGAACTTGTGCAATAAGGTGAGTTTGTTTCCATTTTTATATGTTTCATAAAACACATTTTGTGAAAATCTATGATGGTCTTGCACTTCATCGTCTGCGCACGTGAATCTAGCTCTAATCATTATCTAATAGTGTGGGGTGTGGACAAATGTTGGAAACCGTTAATCTGTACCTACTTAATTTTATAATTTTCCCATGCATTGAACTAACATGTTCTCTTTGGTTTCTCAGTGTGACACTGATGAGCATAATAGAGAGAACCTTTCCAGAGGAATATGCTGAAAGAAAGTTAGAACATGAGAGTTTGACGATTATGGCTCCTGATTTAATACCTCTTTTTGTCATGGATGTTGTGCTGCCTTGCCAGAAGTTACACCTTAACATTTTTGAAGCTCGTTACAGACTTATGGTGAGTTGGTTAGAAGATCCTATTATCCAGACCTATAGTTCCATCTCTGAATCTGCTTGTTAATTCGCTGTTAAAGAGCAGAAATTATAGAGGGGCATATTGAAATGATCTTGTTGTTGGCATCTAATGATGGTGCACGATAAACGTCTAGAATTCTATGTCTTGGGTGTGAAGCTTGGATTAGAAAGATTGAGCGACTCATTTGTCTTTCACACACTTTTCACAAGTTGGAGGTCTTCACAAAAACAACCGCTCTACCCTTTGATGTAGAGGCCAAGTCTATCCCCACCCCAACTCCGGTTGAGATATACTGGCCTTGTTTGGTTTAGTGACACATTGGTCTTTGTAAGACAAATTTTCTTTGATCTTGTAAGTAAATCATAAACGACCTTGATTCAAACCTCAAACGAACCTTATATTTGAAATTTGTTTTAAATGACAGGTAAGGAGGATAATGGAAGGAAACCGCCGCATGGGAATGGTAGATATAACAAGTGTTGCATTTTTGCCCCTTTGATTCAATCAACTTATTGTTCTTAGCCGTGGTGTTTCTTTGTACGAATGTAGGTTATACTTGACTCCACAACTGGATCTGTAGCTGATTATGCTTGTGAAGTGGAAATCACAGAGTACGCTTTGGTTATGTCTTGTTACAACTTGTAGCTGTCTACACTAGTTTATGTATAAGTTAAACTTGATGTATTTAATTATCTGTTTCTTTTCTTGTAGTTGTGAGCCTCTTCCCGATGGGCGTTTTTTCCTGGAGGTGAATAGTTATAGTTTTTCTTGCTTCTATATATCGGCAGAGCATAATAAATGAATTACCTCGTTCTTGTGTGTTTGCACACTCATTCTCACTGATAGCATGTGAGAATACGTGAAATCCATTTGGAATATCCTTTTAAAAGATCCCTTGAAGAGAAGGGACGTTCCAACATATGGAAGATAATAAGTCCAAGTCTAGCAGATGTGGGACTCCAATACAACCCCTCCAATGGAGGTCAGAGTCTTGACTCCTTTTCTAATGGTAGCCCTTGGCTCTAATATCATGTGAGAAATGTGAAGCGCCATCACTGTACTCTCCAAAAGGGCCCCTATAAAGAGAGGGGAGGTTCCTATATATATGTATATACACATACATGTACATGTATGGTCGTGTGTGTCTAGCCGATTAGGATTCCAACCCTACCAGCTGATCGTTAATGGCTTCTAGATTGTAGAAGTTAATGATCGAAGGCTAACATAACAGAGAACCTTATGTCTTCCAAAAAGCAGAAAAATTTAAACGGATACGCCTAAAGAACCTGAATAAATTCCACTGAAAAGAAGTGACACCTGAAACACCACCATCCTTGCATTAACCGCATCCCGTTTGAAGTTCATTTAGTTAATTACACTCTAAAAACAGATCAAATTCATGCAGGTTGAGAGTCGGCGAAGATTTCACATCCTTGGGAACTGGGATCAAGATGGGTCAGTATCATTATTACTGTTGTCAACCATTTATCCCAACTGCTTTAAATAGTTGGTTTTGAATTTGGCTATTTGTTTTGTGTCTATGAAGGTACCGTGTTGCCAGGGTTGAATGGGTGCAAGATTTATCTCCACCTGAAGGAACACGAGAGAAATATGACGTAAGTATAATTAGATCCCGACTTGTATGCTAACCTTCTATTCTATTCATAAATAGTTACTAACGAAAAGAATGTTGGTCTGCGTTTTTCATATACTTCGACAGATGATTGTTTTTTTCTGATTTAGATAATAGTATTTTTTCTGATATGTAGTAGTTCATTGTTACACTTTCCAACTATTTCTAAGTGATTGGCAATGTGCACAGTTGCAACAAACAACGAATAAAGTAGCAGCATATGCTCGATCATGGATAAGGGTTGCTCAAGAGACAGCACAAAGAGGTAATAAAATTAAAGAAAAATTGATCATTTTGAAAAACGACATCTGGGATTCGAAGTCGCAGTTTATAGGATCGTTCCAATTCTTCTGTAAAATCACTTTCATGCAGATGAAGCAAGACTAGCTGAGCTGCATAAAGCAGAATGTCTGATGCCTTCAGCAAACAATCCTGAATCCTTCAGTTTTTGGGTATATTTTTACGCAGCATGACATCTTCTTGGTTTTAGTTTATAAGAAGAAATTCGAGATCTTTACAAACAATTGTTGCAGCTTGCTACCCTAACAAATCAGAGACCACAAGAAAGGCTGGCTCTCCTTCGCATTAGAGATACAAAAGAGGTACCAAATCTTGAATTGTTAGCAGCTTTCTATGATGACTGTTTGCAGCGTTGAATAATCGTCCTTCGTGAATTCGATTATCTATAGTATCTTATTATACATTTACGTTAAAACTCTTAAATTTCAAGAGTTATACAAAGATCCCAAAACATGTCTGGTAATCGTCCATAATGAGGCTTCTTAGTTGTGAGGCTTTTCAAGTTCATGGTATGCGAAGGGGTGACGTTCCATTGATCATTTCGCTCATCTTTCTTACGTTTTTCTTTCATTTCTTCATCGCTTGCTGACAAGTGTCGTTGGTTGCAGAGGTTACGAAGGGGGTATTTTTACTTGAAAGCAGAAGAACAATGAAGTGGATTCGGATGAACATAACATTCATTGACTAATCGTAAGTAGCGTTTTTGTTTTATAGGCGATTCAATATTCTTTTATTCCGATGTAGAGGTTCCGATACACACACAAATGGTAAAGAAAAAAACACAATCACTATTCACCTTCTTCTTTTCAAGTTTCTTGTTGTAAAGAACAGGCTTAATCCTATATTCATTCAATAGTAAGCATATAATGATTTTTTCACTGGTGCAATTTCTGGCCCTGACCTCTGGTTCTTCATATGATGGCTTTTTTTTTAACCAGCTCATGATTTCTGCCTTATTTGAGTTATGGTCATGGCCTCATGGTTTGTTGGTAAACTGTAAGGTGGCGTGCGTTTGTTTTTTAAGAGGTACTAAAGTCTGAAATCTTATCGTATTACTGATTGATAAGTGGTGCTTTTGAATTTTGGAATTTGTTTGCTTTTGTAAACTAACAAACGTCTAAAATCTGAATCGATGGTTGTTTTTGTAAACCGATAAGCATCCTCTCTATCATCTATGAATCTAATATTTTTCGGTTTGGTTTTTATCATCTTCGTAATTTCTCTTTGGTGGCGGTGTTTGAAGACTTGAAGTTTTATATCGGTTTCGTTCTTCTTCAAAGATATATTCTTTAATTTCAACGAGACCATTTTCCAACAATTCTTTGTGTTCTCGTTTCCAACGTAGTAGTCTTTAATACACGCACAAACTTCCATGGATTCCTCCGAAAAACATGACATCCAATCGTATGGAATCCTGCCACTCAAAGAAAAAATCCGATTCCGAAACTACCCTACTGACTTACACCACTTGTATATTATAAATTACTAGAAGCGTACTCGCGCAATGCAGCGAGATAAATCATGATTTTAATATTTCATTTTCTTCTTTATCTCAGTCGATATTATAATATGGCTTTATGTGATTTTGAGAAAGCGATAATGTTTTTATTTTTGAATAAAATATATGTTTGAAGATATCATAAAAATTTGACAAAAATATATCGATATTAG